CTTCGAAAAAGAAAAGAAAAATTCCTTCATTGGTATACAATTCCTGCACACACACACACACACACACACTCACACACACACCCGGCCCCGAGTACACGCCAGTATGCAACCGTCATTCTAGACTCTTGTGATAACCGTAATACCCTATCATATATTGCTTTTAAACTGTTCTCTCCCTCATGTTTCAATGCAGTATACATAATTTACCCAGTTTTTCTCAGTCTTACCCCAACCCTGATGTCAGTCCCATTCTACAACAGTGGCACTATGCAGTATTTGCCTTTTTGTGACTGAGATATTTCACTCAGCATAATTATGGTCTTTTGGGGGTATATTCCCAGTACTGGAATTGCTGGGTCAAATGGTATCTCTTTTTGTAACTTTTTGAGAAAGCACCACACAGCTTTCCACAGTGGTTGTACCATTTTTTAAAAAATCATATGATTGTTTTTAATTGTTCTATTTCAGGACAAATGCACTATGTGAGTAGCTCCTCACCAATAGTGAATAAGGATTCCAGTTTCTCCACAACCTCACCAGCATTTCTTGCTTGCTGTTCAGTTAAATTTTGCTATTCTGACTGGAGTGAGATGATATCTCATAGCTGTTTTGATTTGCATCTCTCTTAAAGCTAGGGATTTTGAACATTTCTTCTTGTGCTTGTTGGCCATCTGAGGGTCTTCTTTGGTGAAGTGTCTGTTCATATCCTGTGCCCATTTTTCAATTGGATTATTTACCTTTATCTTGTTGTGGTGTTCAAGTATTTTATAAATCCTAGATATATGTTCCTTATCTGACATGTCATTACCAAATACTTTTTCCCAGTCTGTGGCTCTCCTTTTTACCCTGTTGGAGAAGTTTTTGGATGTGCATAGGTATTTGATTCTTAGAAGGTCCCATTCATCTATTTTATCTTCTTCAGATTGTAGATAATTGCTTTCTTGACGTTGAGCTTCAATCCATACTGAAGGCTGCAGTCTTTGACCTTCTGCAGCAAACACCTCAGTTCCTTCTCAGTTTTGGCAAGCAAGGTTGTGCCATCTGCAAAAAGCAGGTTGTTGATGAATTTTCCTCTAATCCTGATGCCACATTCCTCTTCATAGAGCCTAGCCTCCAGGATGATATGTTTTGCATATAGATTTAAAAGATATTGCCTTAGAATTCTTCCCCAGCCCCCTTTCTTTAGTCATGTATCGTACTTTAAACTGCCTATTTACCAGGAGAGAAAATGTGTTTTTCCTAGGTTTGCATTCACCTCTTTGAAACTGTTTTTATCATTCATGTAAATTGTGCATTAAAGCTGCCTGTTTATCAAGAAGGGAAATATATCTTTCCCGGATTATCATTTACCTCTTCAAAACCAGTGTCAGTCATATGTTAACTATTTAAGTTGTCTCTTTACTAGTAAACTGTTCTTTTTAAAGGTAGAAATTCTGTAGCTTTACTAACAAAAAGCATATTGTTAAGTAAATTAGTATTTAACAGAAGTATAAATGTTAGTGATCACTCTCAGATGGGGAGGCAGTTTATGAGGGGAATCTCACTGTCTTCTCAGATATGCAATGAAGTGCTGTGTATATTGCAATCAGTCTGTCTTATTGGCAACTGACTATGGAAAGAACCCCTTGTGTTCAGTAATAACGGCCTATTTGAGTACGTTCTTAACCCTCTTTCAAACCTTGTGAAGTCACTCACTAGATCAATGCTTCTTGGAACTTCCCCATAGCTGACACTCCATTGGGATTCCAAGGCTATAAATCATTAGGGAAGAGATTGCCCATTTTCCCACTTCAAATCCTCACCAGCATTATTATTATTATGATGATGATGTTCTTTTGGCAGTCCATGTTTATTCAAAATGATTAAAAGTAAAGCAATTTAATTCCCTTAGAACCAGTGAGGTAAATCACCTAACTAGTGAGGGACACACAAAATTACATATTGCGATGGTAACTGAAAGTTTGGCTATTTGTTACTCTGTGGGGAAAAGTTGTGTAGTCTTCCCCTGAAAAGATTTTAATTTTGAAAACTAAATGAGAAGTTGGGATTGACAGTGACTTGATTTTGGAATACAGCAACCTGAATATCTGAGTAAGAACACAGCACTTAGATAATGGGTTTCAACCACTGAAGGTTTCAACTAGGCTAATAGTGTAAGTTAAGTGGCTCTTTAAGAAGATGCTGTTGTTGTTGTGTATTGTTGGGTAGAAAACACTACGCATAGACATTTAAGAAGATTGTCTGTCTTACTCGTGTAAAGCAGCTAGTGACTTGAACTGCATACCTTTGGGTTGGCAGCCCAACTCCTTACCAATAAGCTACTAGAACTTCCTTAGCAAGAAGAATATGAATGAATCTTTGTGCAATGATTGTCATATCCATATGCTGTTCCAACCTCAGTTCTAACCACTTCCTTTATGTTCTATTTCCTTTAGACATCTTCATTTACTGTGAGTTCTTCCTGTTGAGATGTCATCATTCTGTTAATGATCTAGATAAAATACTACTTCCTTCATGAAGCCCTCCAAAAGTCCCTTAAAGACATAAAGCTGTTCTGGATTTCTCTCATGACATCATATCATGGCAGGCTAGACAGAGACTATACTGACATAAACTGCCCTTTTCCACATAGAAAGTTCCTATGAATTTGAATCAGTTTGATGCTATTGATGCTATTGAGTTGTTGGGTTTTTTCATCAAAAGTGAAGAAAACACATAGAAAAGTTCAGAGTGTTTTAAGTAATTTCATTGTCTTAAAAAATAAATTTCATTACATGAAAAGGTATTCTATCACTTCTTTTTGTGATAAACAGCATTTTTTTCAAAGTTAGCCACAATTGCTAACTTTTGCTGCATATTTCTATTTGCCTGTGTAATTTTTAGAATACAGCAGTGACTATGCAAATTACTAAAAACAAAACAAACCTCTCAGACTCAACTGCAATTGAGTCAAATTTCAATATCTAAATTACAGTGCATGGTAATATGTCCTTCTTTTTTTTTAAAATAAAACCACAAACAAACCACAAACTGCTGTCATATTTTAAGATTTTGATTTCTAACACATATGGATTTTGAAGCTCCGTCTCACATACTGTGGGCATGTGGCCAGAAGGGACACAAGGAGAAGGACATCATGTTCCGAAAGGTTGAAGGAAAGCGCTGGAGAGGAAGACCCAGATAAGATGAATTGATACAGTAACTAGAGCATTGGAGGTAGGTGTGTCAGAGTCAGTGACACTGGGACAGGGCAGCCTTCAGAGCTGTTGTACATAGGGCCGCTATAAGTCACAGGCGACTTGATGACACATAACAACAACATATGTGATAAGAGATTATCACATGAATTAGATTTAGAACTTTAAAAAAATGAATTCATTTTTATCATGGACCTTCTACTTCCTAAAGAAATGTCTTCATGGCAAATTGTTTTATTATCAACTTTTTGTTATTTCAAGAGGGGAGATTTCATAAATGCACAACGAAAATATGAAGCTCACCTACTTATTATACTTGCAATCTAATTCAGATTTGAAATTGGGCCTGTGGAGATGACCAAATAGTGTTTGTGGGAAATTATTATTCAGACACTTTCTCATTAAAGCATTAACAGAAAAATAAAATGAATTCATTTTAGAAAGCCACTTTAAACATGGATGAACAGAAGGAAATAGATTTAAAATATGATTTAAAATATACATTTTGGAATACATTCTGGTTTTGGGGGAAAATGAATTTTATTATTATAAACCACTGACCATTTTGTCAAAACTTTTTGTTATGAGTGCGCATAATTTTTCCTAAAGACAAGAGTGTTCCTAATTTTCTCCATATGTGTATAATTTGTCTTTGACCTTTAACAAATGTTCTTTAAACAGTCCACTTACCATCCAAGAACAACGCCATAGCATCATTTTACACACATACACAAAGAGTTGAAAGCCCATAAAAATAAATGATCCATGATACAAGATACATTAACCAGTAGAATAATAAGCTATTTCAGCCTGTAAATTTTAGTGCCCATCTATTCAAAACCTCACTGGGTCATTTTAGGATTAAATTCACAAGAACAAAATGCTAAATGCACATGTTTTATTTGGTATGCATCCAAGCACATATTTTGTGTAAAAGTGTATTAGCCTCAGAAAACTTATCCAAAGGCATATGAGGCAGTGTATATTTGAAAATAGTGTCTTTTTCCAATACATGATTTTATGTGTTACAGATACATTTACTACTAAGCATCATGCATATTTAATGTCACAGCGTCTACTTCAATGCTCTAAAAAGCTTTTGTTCACTTAATAGTTTCCATTATTGAAGAACCAATGTTCAGTTCCCCCACAATTTTGTAAAGTGCAGGCAACCCACAAGAGCTTCTGGTTTTAGCTGGCTGCCCCGTGGGGCCATGATAATAGTTATGAAGTCATTAATTCTACCTCTGCAGTTCCAACTGTCAGGTACATGTAACAATAATTGAAGTTAATGAACTCTGTTCAATTTATTAAGTGAAAAATGAAAACTAGTATTCTTTCATATGCAGCCTTGAGGCATATTATCATTTGTGTATACTACACTGAATTTTCTACTGTCTTTTATAGGGTATGGTGCATAGTCATACTATTTTTTTTTAATTTTTATTTTTTAGTCATACTATTCTTTAAAACTTATCTTCATTAAAGGATAATGCAAGAAATTCTATATCTCTGTAATTATGGAGAAACTGAAAAAAATTATTTCCAAAAGCAATATTTAATAAGAATCACTATCTATGAAAAGCAATCCAGTGCAACCAAAGCTCACCTCCTGCTTTGTATAAAAAATATGCTTTCTTGTACCACCTCATCTTCTCAAACGCTTAAGAGAGCACCAAAAGTTTCCAGTTGTTGAAAAAACAGTATTGTTTCTTTCATAGTTATGTACTGGAAAACTTCTGTTTACATAGAAACAGTCTATTTTCTGATTGAAATAAAAATGAAGAACAGATTTCTCTCCAATTACTCAAAGTAAACTGCATAAACATTTGCAAGAGCAAAAAGAGAAGAGTTTCTAAAAACATAAGATGAGCAAGTATCACTTTTAGGATCCCAGAGACATCTGCTTCCAATATGTATGCTCTGCCCATTCAGTTGTCCAATGTGGATAATCACGATTAACTTATACCGTGGAATCATCAAGTCCTTGACCCGGGTTTTAATAATCTAGCAATTTAAAAGAAAATAAAAATATTTATCATTCAGTAACACTGAAATAGAAAAATCTTTTAAAATATTTTTATTTTATTTTTATTTTTTATACTAGTTTATTTACAAAATTCGAATACATTGTTTTTTCACACTAAATCCTTCCCATTTCCCACCACCCCTATGAAATGGAAAAATCTTAATTCTTAGTAATACATGTTTTGTTGATATTATGCACCATTAATAATTTGGAACTGATTTATAGCTGATCCTCCAGTGGGCTTTCAGAAGCAGTAAATTATAAGGTAGGAGATTGCTCACTTTTCTCCCATAGAGCAGCTGGTGAATTTGAAGCTCCTGCCTTTGGGATGGTAGCTCAACGTCTTACCCTCTAGGCCATCAGAAGTCCCTCTGTCACACCTATATGGTATGCCATTACATAAAACTACATGATGTGCTGTCAATACCCTCACTCATCCACAGTGATGATTTCTTTCAAGCACTGTTTCCAGCAAACTGAACATTCAGGGGCAGAATTATAGTACCAGCAATTAATCTATATTTTCTATGACATAGAAAATTATAATTCAGAACACAGATTTTTTTTTTCTTGTGTTGAGGGCTAACTTTCATTAAATGACTTAAAAATCTATGTTATGATGGCTTGCCTTGAAAGAATGTTGGATTTAGAATCCTATTGTCTTATCCCGGCTCGGTGGTGCAATCTACAGTGCATTGGACTTCTAGAGTTTTATTGTCAGGTCTTGTAAAATTAAGGGGCTATACTCAGGGGTTTACAGAAATGTGACTAATCAAGAAAGTTTATTAAACAACTTGTTTATGAAAAAGAAAGAAGACCTATACAAAGTGTCAGCTTTTTAATGAAGGAAAACAGTAATGTATTTTAAAACTACCATCTCTTTATATGATGGTGCTCAAGAATGGTAGTTGCTTTTGGCAAACAGAAAATGATCATTCTAATATTGTATAATTTATGGTAAAATTGGAAAACTGTCAGTTTTAAGAAAACTTAAGTAAGACCCACACCTCACACCATCCACAAAACACAATTCAAGGTGGATCAGGGACCTAGGAATAAAACCAAAGACTGTAAAATTCATCAGAGAAAAGCTAGGAAAAATTCTTGTTGTAGGTGTTGTGCACTATCAAGTCAGAACTGACACTCCAGCAGACAATTCTAGAAGCCCTAATTTACAGCATGAACAGAATCCAAAACATAATTAAAAACCTATAACCAGAGAGAATAAAGTAGATAAATGAGACCTTCTAATAATCAAATCCCTATGTACATCAGAAAACTTCTCCAACAGTGTAAAAAGGAAACCCATAGAATGGGAAAATATTTGGCAATGACATTATCTGATAAGGGACTCTTATCTAAAATTTATAGAATACTCTGGTGACCCAACAGAATGTGGAACTACAGAACAATATCATTAATTTCACATGCAAGCAAGATTCTACTGAAGATTATGCAAAAACTACGGTCACAACACATCAGCAGAGAACTGCCAGAAGTCCAGGCAGGGTTTAGAAGGGGTCGTGGTACTAGAGATATTGTAACTAATGTTAGAAGGATCTTAGCTGAAAGCAGGGAATACAGAGGAATGCATATCTGTGTTTCATTGACTATGCAAAGGCATTTGACTGTGTGGATCATAACAAACTGTGGCTGACTCTGAGGAGAATGGGCATACCAGAACACTTGATCGTGCTAATGAAAAACCTATACTTGGACCAAGAGGCAGTCATCAGAACAGAGCAAGGAAACACTGCATGGTTCAAAATTGGCAAGGGTGTACGACAGGGATGTGTCCTGTCTCCATACTTTTTCAACCTGTACACAGAACAGATTATCTGGGAGGCTGGGCTCTATGAGGAGAAATGTGGGGTCAAGATTGGTGGAAGATCTATCAACAGTCTGCGATATGCAGATGATACAACCCTGCTTACTGAAACTGAGGAGGACCTAAAGTGCTTGCTGCAGAGGGTCAAGGACTGCAGCCTCCAATATGAATTGAGGCTCAATGTCAAGAAGACAAAGATTCTCACCACTGAGCCAACTGACAGCATCAGGATGGATGGTAAAGAGACTGAGATTATTCACAACTTCAGTTTGCTTGGCTCTACAGTCAACATTCTCGGCACCAGCAGCCAGGAAATTAAAAGACATATTGCCATGGGAAAGTCTGCTGTTATGGACCTCTCCAAAGTACTGAAGAGCAATGGTGTCTCTTTGGAGACCAAGGTGCATCTGATACAGGCCATGGTCTTTGCTATCACTTGTTATGCGTCAGAGAGTTGGACAATGACTAAGGAGGATAGAAGGAGTATTGTTGCCTTTGAACTTTGGTGCTGGAGAAGAGTATTGAGGGTACCAAGGACTCCTAGGAAAACAAACAGATTCATCCTGGAAAGGGTCAAACCGGGCTGCTCCTTGGAGGCAAGGATTCTGAGGCTCTGTCTAACATACTTTGGCCATGTTGTAAGGAGGGACAGGTCCTTGGAGAGGGACATCATGCTTGGTAAGGTGGAGGGACAGTGCAGAAGGGGAAGGCCCCCTATGAGGTGGATTGATTCAGTGATTGGGGTAATCCGGATGGGTGTGTCAGAGATGGTGAGTTTGGCTGTTGTACATAGGATCACTATGAGTCGCAAGCAACTCAATGGCACATAACAACAATTGGCACCTAAAAAGAAAAAGGCAATAACCCAATAAAAAACTGGCCACAAGACATGAACAGGCACTTCACCAAAGAAGAAATTCAGATCGCAAGCAAACTCATGAAGAAATGTTCAAACTCCCTAGCTATCAGAGAGATGCAAATTAAAACAATTATGATATATCATCTCACCCTAGCAATAATAGCAAAGTTCAGCAGGGCAGCAACCGACAAATTCTGGTCAGGTTTTGGAGAGATTGGATCTCTTAAGTACTGCTGATGTAAATATAACCTATGGAAGGTGATCTGTTGCTTTCTTAAAAAGTTGGAAATAGAAATATCATTTGAGCCAGCAATTCCGCTACTAAAGAAACTAGAGCCATAATTAAAAATACCCATGTTTATACTGCTTATTCACAATATCAAAGAGATGGAAGGAGCTCAAGTGCCTATCAACAAGTGTATGGATAGAAAAACTGTGGTACATTCACATTATGAAACATTACACAGCATTGAAAAGCAATGAACTCGTAAGACATTACACAATTTAGGTAAACCTGGAAGACTTTGTGCTGAGTGAAATATTTCAGTCACAAAAAGAAAAATACTGCATGACACTGATGTTATAAACTAGGTCTGACGTGGAGGATAGGGGAGAATTGAAAAAGAGTGGATAGATTATTAACACTGCATTGGAACAGATGAGGGGAAGAAGTATCTGAAAGAAATGTATGATTAGGCATTATATGTATGACAATCTAGAATAAGAGGCATATTGCAAAGTGGACTGGGGAAGGTAGGAAGAGTAGGAAAACGTGCTACAATGAATGAATGAAAACCTAACCTTTCCCTAAACTTTTGTTAAAATTACAGTTAAAAAAACTCATCATTGTATCATTTAAAAAGAAACTTTTTGTAGATGGAATACTTGTAAAACTTTTTTTTTATAAAATGCATGCAAATGTTGCACATAATCTCTGTTTTGTCCATACATTTTATTGTCTTCAGTGGTTTGAACATATCGGCTGCTCAGAAGAAGAAAAAATGCGCAGTTTCTTCCCAATGCTTCTTGTTGTTATGTACCTACCATCAAGTTAGAACTGATTCTTAGCTGACATTCCAATGGGTTTTCAGAACCTATAAATCACCTAAGAGGAGATAGTCCATCTGTCTCTGACAGAGCAGCTGGTGGATTTGATCTACCTGCCTTTGTATTGGTGGTGCAACTTCTTACCCACTAAGCCACCAGAATGCCCTCTTCCCATTGCTACTGCAAGTTAATTCCCTTTATCAAAGGTAAGAGGTTGTGCTCTCAGCTGATCATCTAGTTATAGCTACGCTTTGGGAAAATCAGACAAGTACCTCAGAAATAGTTTTAGTCTTCTGTCTACAGAGGTCTGGTTCATATTTTTCTTCTTGCAGATGGTTAGTTAACACATCTTTCAAAATATGATTGACAGAGACCACAGGAAAACGTTTTGTAGGACCTGAAAACACATGCAGAATTTATTCTTAGAAGTAATTTAAACCTAAGAAGTTTAAACCAAATCCATCGACCCCATCTTATAATCAAAAGGGTACTAAAAACATGAAAGGATATTTCGTCTCCTGGGTGGCCTCTCTTTAAAAGGAAAACAAATTTATCTTAATTAGTTATCTTTCCAGTCAAGTTTACCGGAGGGGACAAGAAGATAATGTATTCATACTTTAATCACATTAATAAAAAATGTATCTTCAATAATATTGAGGTTTGGCATGCAAAGTCATCTTATCTGTTTCTACTGTTAGTGACCTACCTCAATGTCTCAACAGCTAACTAGGCCCCTGTTTTCATATCTTCATTTCACAGACACTCTCCACTCTGCACTCAGAGTGATTCGTCTAAAACCCAGAGCTTACTGCACCATTTACCTTCTTAACACGGTTTGGGACACAACTCCAGCCCAATCTTCTATTACAACTCCTTAAGCGTACTAATACAGGCTCTTCAATTCCACTGGTCTTTAAAAGACAGAGTCCCTAAGTAGTGCAGATTCTTAACCTACTTGGGTGTTAACAGAAGAGTTAAGAGGTTTCAGTTCACTCTGAGGCATCGTGTAAGAAACACTGGGTGATTTACTGCTAAAAGATCTGCCACCGAAAACCCACAGGCCACAGTCCCATTCTAACACACATGTGGATGCCATGAGTCACAGATGACTTGACAGAAAATTTTTTCTCCCCTTTTTCTTCATATTGGAATACCTTTGTCAATATTGCAGGTCTGACAATACTACTCATTTTCCAAGACCAGCACGAATGTCTTCTTTTCCAGGTAGGCTTGCACTTCTCTTTTGATCAAAATAGTCACTCTCAAACTGCCTCAGTCCCACAAGGACAAATATTGTATAAAATAATTATTATAGAATGAGTATGAGGATCCAAGGGTGGGGAGTTATGAGGATGTGCAGGGGTGTTGGTTGTACAATTTGATGGGGAGGTTGAGGGAAATTGGAAGAATCTGATCTGAAAAACAATGTATTCAAATTTTGTAAAGAAACTAGTATAATAAAAAAACCACAAAACCCAAACAAACAGTCACTCTCTTCTCCACACTCTCAATGCAATGTGTCCCCAGTAGCTACTTGGGCTCCCAAATAAAGCCTTTCTCCTCAATGAACTAGAAAAGAGTTAGATTATGTTATTTTCCTAATAAAGGTATAAAAAATATTTAAGATATCACTTGCAAATAGAAACAGAATTATTACAATACAAATAATGACTGCATTTTATGAGTACTTTCTATGTTTGGTACTATACTAAGTACTTCAGATTTATTACCTTATATACTCTCAACATAATCACCACTCTTGGCACCTGCAGTCAGAACATTAAAAGACATATTGGGAAAATCTGTTGTCAGAGACCTCTCCAGAGTACTGAAGAGCAATGATGTCAGTCTGGAGATAAAGTTCACCATACAGGCCATAGTCTTTGCAATCACTTTCTATGCATCAGAGAGCTGGACAATGACTAGAGATGATAGGAGGAGAATTGACGCCTTTGAGCTGTGTAGTGTCGGAGAAGGACATTGGACTGCTAAGAGAATGAACAGGTTCGTCCTAGAGAGGGTTAAACTAGGCTACTGCTTGGAGGCAAGAATTCTGAAGCTTCATTTGATATACTTTAGACATGTTGCAAGAAGAGATCAGTCCTTGGAGAGGTACGTCATGCTTGGGAGGGTGGAGGGATCACACAGGAGGGGAAAACCCTCGATGAGATGAATTGATTCAGTCACTGGGGTAATAGGGGTACACGTGTTGGAACAATATGATTAGCATGGGATAGATCAGGGTTTAGGGCTGTTGTACATAGGGTCGCTATGAGTCGCAGGTGACTCAGCGACACATAACAACAATAACCCTGTCGAGTTGCCTGCTCTGTTGGCCTAGTGGATAGAAAGTTATACTACCCAGCCAAAGGTGGGTGGTTTTAATCTGTGACTCTCAGGCCTGGTTTTAATTGTTTTTGTCCATTTTCTGTACAGAGGTAACTCATGATTGCTGTGATGCTAAACACTGTGATACTGACGTGTCAAATTCTATAATGGTTACCCATGGTGGATAGTGTTTGGTGGAGCTTCCCAATTAAAACAAGTTAGGAAGTAGGAGTGGCATTCATTTCCAAAATAGCTTTCCTCTGGAAACTCTATGGCTGTGGAGAAACGATGAAATTTATACAAGTGTTCAGGTCTTTAATTCATAGGGTCACTAAGAGTTGTCTACAACTCGATGACACTTAACAACAACAACATGATTCATCATCCCCTCAGCTCATCCTCATCCCTCTGCTCCCACCCTCCCCCCACTTGGATCCTCATACTCATTATACAATAATAGTCTTATACATTATTTTTCCTATGGGATTGAGTTATTTCATTCAGTATAATGCTCTCCAGTCCCTCCCAAGTTAAATAGTGATTTACAAAATCATTGCTACTGCTTGCCATGTAGTAGTCCATCATGTGAGTGTACCATAATTTCTCAACCCATTCAATTGTGGTTGGACATTTGGGCTGTTTCCATGTTCTCTTTTCTTTTTTTAATGTGTCATTTGTAGGCAATATATTGACGGGGCTTTGTTTTTTCAATCCATTCTGCTACTCTTTTTTCTCCTAATTGGTGCTTTTAGTCCATTCACATTAGGTGTAATTATTGTCAGGCCAGGTTCTACTTTTGTCATTTTGTTGTGCTTTGTTTTCTGTTGTTTCTGATTAATATGGTCCATTCCCTTTCTTTTGGCATCTCTGTTTAAAGGTCTTCACTTAAAATTTCTTGTAGTTTTTGTCTTATTTTCACAAATTACTTATATTCCTTTTTTTCTTCAAAGGTTCTAAGTTCTCCTTCATATTTGATGGAGAACTTTGCTGGGGATAGGATACTTGGCTGGCAAATTTTTTTCTTTCAACTTTCTGTATATGTCATCCCATTGTCTTCTAGCTCACATGGTTTCTGCTGAAAAATCAGAACATAATCTAATTGTTTCCCCTTTGTATGCGACTCTTTGCTTTTCTCTCGCTCACTTTAGAATTCTATCCTTATCTTGTAATTTGGAGAATTTGACTATGATGTGTCATGATGTTTTTCTGTTTGGGTCTAGTCAGCTTGGTGTTTGCTGTGCTTCTTGAATGTGGATTTCCCTATTCTTCAAAATATCTGGGAAGTTTTCTTCTAGTACCTCTTCCACCATTTTATCGATGATTTTCCAGTCACTCCTCTGTTCTTGAATTCCAATCAGACGTATATTTTTCCTTTTGATGTCATCCTACATGATCCTAATGTGTTCTTCATTTTCTTTACTTTTCATCTCTCATTTTTCTTCTAGTATGTTTCCATTGAGGCTCTTGTCTTCCAGTTCACTGACTCTGTTCCATCTCTTCAGTTCTACATTTTTGTCCTACTAGCTTGTTGGATACATCTGCCATTTCTGTCTTAGTATTCTGGATTGCATTTTCATGCTTTTCTGTTATTTCCAGTACTGTGTTCACTGTATGCTTTCTGTCTTGTGATGCTTTTTAAGTTCTTATACCTCTTTATCTATACTATAAATTCTTTCTTCTATCTTTGCATTTTCTTCCATCGCTGTTTAAGTTGTTCCTCATCATTATATTTCTTCTGGTTTATTATCTCTGGGGTATTTCTCTCTTAATTGTTTCTTCCATCATTTGCTTCTTCTTCTGTAGCTGTTCAAATAACTCCACATCAACATATTTCTTTTGGCTCTCTCTACCTGGGGTTTTCATTGGGTCTGCTTTTTTAGGAGAAGGGTTATTTTGTTTTTTACTGTTGCCTGAAACACACTGCTGCTTTCTTGACATACGTGCCTTTTCTTATTAGATGTTACATCATTGTAACTATGGAATGACTCAGAGTATGGCAATGTTTTGTAAAGGACCAGTATATTTGTGCTTCCCTTTTGGCCTGAAGCCAAGGGCTTGACAGCAGTGTTTTCCCTATAGTACCTGATATGGCAAACAGGAAGACTATTGTTCCCTTCCACAAAAGACATCTCTGCCTGCCTCAACCTGTCCCAGTCCCTTTTGGTTGAGTTTAAGGCTTCTGTGTGGTGTAGCTAGAAAGCAGTGCCCCCCTCCTCCATCTTCTTTTGATACTTTCTGGGTTGATCAATATATTACCCATAGCATCTTTCAATATTTCAACTTGAGGTTTAAATTTGTCTTTTCGTTATCTCAGCTTGAGAAATGCAGAGCAAGTTCTTCCCTTTTTATTTTCTAATTCCAGCTCTCTGCACCTTCCATTATAATAGTTTGCTTTGTCCTCCCAAGTTGCCCTTTGAAATCTTCTGTTCAGCTCTCATATGATTCCATCTTCTGAAAAACTACTGGAGAGTCAGTTATGAGTTGGTTCTGATTTTATTGCAATAATTAACGAGTATATTTATAATATCATTGACTCCATGTTCACAAAAGCAGCTTGATATGGATTTACTTATCTATGCACTCCAGGAATTTTACCTGCACCTCTAAAGCCCATTAACCTCATTGTCATTCAGATTAAGTACTCATGAAATTGTACTACATTTACATGTGACCAAGGCCTTGCAATCATAATATGTAGAACTGATATGATGAAATGAAAAGCAAAATTATACATAACTATTTTCACAGTTGCCAATACATTTTAATAAGTGCTTTTCAAAAAATAACTCTATCAGGAACTTAAGGAAACATAATCACATACTTAAGTTAGAATAATTCCACTAAGCTTTAGTAAAGAAACTCTAGATATATCCACCACACATACCACAGCAGTTGTTAAAAAAAATGTTCACTTTTTTTATTCTTGGCATTGGTAATTCAATTTGGTCTTCCATTTAGGTATGTGGATATTATCCCATCACTGACGACATTGTACATCAGAATAGAACTTGAAATATTGTTTTTGCCAAACAATGTAAAGTTATTCTTCTTTAGTTTGTCATTCTGGCT